GTAAAGACATTAAAAAGGAAGCAAAATAATTTAACAGTTTGATCTGTGGTTTGAAGAGGAACAAAAGAGATTTTCCCGAGAGTTACGTTTCTATTTTCTGTATTGTCCAATTTGTTCACTGTCATTAAACACAGACTTCACCTCCTGCATGTTTAGATCATTCACAGGAAATATAACAATAATATAAACTGATTCTAAACCATTTAGTTCATTTAGGTATGAGCTCATTCTGACTTAAAGGAAACTGAAAGGAAAGTTATAGAGTCATTTCCTGTCTCGGTTTACGAATGATCTGAGATCTAAGGAGAAATACATTTTAGAAAGACATTACCCTTTTTAATAATTACAGCAGCCTATTTTGCAAGAACAATGACAGAGGTTCAGTACATGAAGATCCAGACTTGTAAAATCAAAAAGCAGACATCTAGAACCCATCATGGCTCTGGCTGGAACATCCTGTTTTTATTCATTCAGTTAGAATTAAAGGAGCTGCCAGTTAAAGTTGTCCTTTACTCTAAATCTGTGTTTCCTCAATGGAAACATGCTAGGTCATTACAGACCAGATTATATTTATGCTTCTGTCTGTAACCACAATCTCTCATTGAGGATGATGTTTTTCCTCTAGACTTGGACCTCATTGCTCCATGTAATCCAGGCTGGAATTACAAGTCGTCTCACACAAACTAAAGCCACAGGCAGATTCGTTGGGTAGCTTAGCCAACTTTGGAAACTGTGACTGAAGGGAAAGTGAGCAGGTTGCTTAAATGACCCAATTCCAACTTTTAAGATAAATTTTCAGCATTTGGGATGCCAGTCAGTGCTGTGAATTAAGTTGTCTGTACTGAAAATAATCGGGAAACTGAAAGCTGTTTGAAGTTATTGGGACTGATGTCTAGAATCATAAAGAGGAAGAAAGTAGAACAGCCACTACTGTCTGAAACGCTGACCTCTGCTGTAGCTCTAAATAAGGCTTTCTAAAAACACAAATTGTGACTAAAGAGGAAAAGTTTGTTCAGTGATGGATGTCCGTCAGCTAGCATGTTTTCCACTCTGAACTCAACCCTCTGATCTTGCAAACTGAAAGAACAAAATCAGTGTTTTTGTGCAGCCGTCTGTGCCAGAAGTCCTCCCTCATGTTAAAACAACAAAGACTCAAAGGTCATGTTTTACCATCAGTGTGAAAACTTAAGGGAAACATTTCAGATATTTCTGCGTCATCACCTCTGAAATGCTGCTTGTGGTATCTCTGCATGTTGAGTCTTCAGCTGCATTTCTCTGCAAAGCTCTGCAGTATTAGGGAGTGTTTGGGCAGACTGACAGACCGCAGCCAGGGAGACTGGATCACTGCTTATTTCTGCATTAAACAAAAGAGAAGGACAATTACTGATGTCACATTTAAAGAGCCAAATCAAAATAAGAAGTCAAACAGGGAAAAAAGGCCAAATCACAGAGATACAACAATCCTCACCTGACCTTTCATCTAATTTACTGCTTTCCCAAATATTCCTGCTAATTCTGTGAAGAAACAAACGGAGAACTTCTGCTGGTTGGTGCCATTTTCTTCAGCCTCGTGTCTTCCACTCGAGTCCAGAACAGCGGTGGCTTGATGAAAAGGTCCTGATGAAAACTCTGGGATATTAAAAGAGTTGGTGGGGAGCCAAATAGCTCTCCGGTTAGCTTAAGTTCCAGTGAGGGAAACCTGGCTGGGACTCTGGTTCACTCATCCCCATCTGCAGTGAACCAGAACCGCCTGTTGGCTTCACTATCCTTTTACTTTCTCAGCTCAGCCAAACAGGAAGAAGCGAGGGCCCAGATGGTTTAAAGGTCACACAGAACCTGCTGCCGATAGAAAGCTGAAAAGTAAACTGAGCATCATCACAATGCACTTTAAAAAAGCTGGCAGTAAATCACCGTAAAGGAAAACTCACTTCAAACATGTTTTTTTTTTTTTTAGAAATGGCCTAATGAGGCCAATCAGTGGACTTTTTTATTAATTTTTTTTAAACAACAGTCATAGCTTTCAAGTTCCATCCAATCAAAGTCCTGGTCTGGAAGATTTCCCAGTTTCCTCAGTTCTGAAGGTCAGGTAAAGAACTGAAAGCTCTCCATGTCAATGTACCGTTAGCCAAACACTTTCCGTCTTCCACTGGTTTTTCAAAAAAAATGTCAACAGGAAAATCTGGAGGCCATTTGTCATTTTGACAGATCACAATTCACACTGGAACCACCTGTTCTAGAGTGATGAAATTTAGATTTTATGCACAAAGGTAACTTCATCAATCAATGAAAAAAAAAAGGAAAAGAATAAAATTTTCATCAGAGTATCACCTCAAAGATGGACACAACGTATCTCACGACCTTGGAGCTGACAAACACGCTGAAGAGTTTTGACTGAGAAATACAGAAAGCAAAGACCGTCTCCCTGCTCAGGAGCCTCATGGAAACAGAACATTTTCCTCCCATGTTCACCAGAGTTTAACCAAGTAATAATTAGGTGTGGGTACCATGGTTCGTGTGGTGGCCAGGGTTCTGACCCAGGGTTTTTTGTGTGAATGATTTTAGGCCACCTTCAAGGTCACGAGTGTGGGTAAAATCTAGAGACTGATGGCTGTATTGTAGTGAGTGAGTCAGGCTTGAGGAAATATGTCTTGATAAAGATTACCTTGATTCTGTGACCCTGCTGGAATGGCAGAAAAGCTCATTTTTGATTGAGAACAGAAGCTGTGTTCAGGCCTCAGCTAGCAGAGTGTGGTCCTTTGTTTGGAGGAGTTCTGAGAGGACACATATTTATGATGGGAGAATAACAAGCTAACCATACTGCTGTTGTGCAACAGTATTTTTTTATTAGAAACTGTTCCTTGGAGGGGATGGAAAAACCACTTCTAATATTTAGAACTTTTACTGTTTATTAGTTTGTTTAGTGAATGTTGCAGCAGAGCCCTGGGCTTATGTGGGATTTCTGAGCAACTTTAAACAAGCAGTTCCATTTTAATACAACTTATCCCACCAAAAAAAAAAGAAAAACAGAAAAAGGAGGACTGTGTGGTAGTAAAAAACAAAAAGGTCTGGACCATCTGGAAACTCTCCTCACAGTAGCCATGTGAACCATGGACTGAAGTCTGGAGACGGGGTGAAGGTTAGGCCAGTGGTGAGACACTTTCCATGGTCCCTCAAAACAGAAGAACTGTCATCAGGGTTATCCCTCTCCTTTTCCCTCCACTTGACAATTATTTAAAAAGTGCTGGGTCCTGGATGGTGATATGGAAAGTCAGAGCTGGACATAATTGCTGCACCTGTCAGAGAACAGAGACCGAACCTTTAATTTCACTGAGTAATGTCCCAGAGAGCACGGACAACGTTTCTTCTCAGAAGGCTTGTGGCACAACTAATACTCTGAACTGTGGCTTCATGACAAAAAAGCCTGAGGACTGAGTTCCTTGAAAAGTTCTGCTGCTTCCTTCCAGCCTGACCTCAAAGCTGCACACGTTTCAGCTTCAGGCACATGCAGGACAGATATGCCTCATAAATACTATTCTGTGAACTATATGCTGAGTTACTGTTTTATTATAAACTAGTTTCTAAAGCTAATTATTCTATTTCTTTATTTATTTGATGGGCCTTGTGGTTTAAAGTAGGCACTTTCTCCATGTTTTATCGAAGAGCTGTGAAAAAGTACTTTGTGCCCCATCTCAGATGTGTTTTTGCTTAAATAATTTAGATCAAACTAATCTTAGTAAAGGATAAAGATGGCCTGATTAAATACAAAAACACAGTTTTCAGTTAATGATTTCATTCACTAATGGGAAAGCTGTCCAAACCACCCTGGACATATGGGACAAACAATTGCCCTCTTAACTTTCTAACTAGTTTTCCCACCATTTGCAGCAACAATTGGTATCAAGAGTTTGTGATAACAGACAAAGAGTCTTTATAATCAGCAGAGAAGAATTTTGGCTGACTCTGTGCAGAAATGACGTCTTAATCATTGCGAGGACAGCAATGTTTTTGTGGAATCATTGTCTGACATACAAGCATTTTGGGGGTGATGTTATTTCAACCACATTCAAGAGTTTGAGTATTTCATATCACACTACAGCATCTGAATGATGGTTTATGTCTGACTTTCCTTCAGCTGATTTATTACAGTTCAGTTACAAACTGTTTCTTGTTTCTTCCATTTGGTTTTTATTTCTTTTGTTGTACATTTCCAACTTCCAAATCATGGTGTCCTGATCTTCAGACGTTTTCTTTAGTCTCTGTGTGTTTTCAGTTTTACAATCTCCTCTTTCTGCTGCTACTTCCTCCAAACTCTAGACCCAGCTGACTGGAAACAACCAACATGTTCTTGGTGCAAATCCTTTGAGCTGACAGATGTCTCGTGGGGATCATCAGTCTTTCATCACTGAGTGATTCCATCATTTCTTTCTGCCGTATTTCATCTGATTGGTTGTTTTGTCCATAATTCATCCTGATGGCAAACAGAAGCTGAGCTATTGGACCACATTAAGTAAGACGGTGTGATGTCATATGTTGCCGTTTCTACCTCGGGGTGTTTAGCAGTCATAGGAGAGTCTGATGGATCAGAACCCAGAACATCATAACAGAACCAGCTTCTCCAGAGCTGATGTACCCTGAACGTCAAGCTAACTGCTTTGTTTCCAGGTAAACTCCACATTTTAGCTCCACATGGTGGAGTCACTTTGTTCAGAGTTGAAAAATCTTTAGGACTTTTTCCTGACAGCACTTCAAGTAGCAGTAAGCATCCATCTTGTTGTTCTGTTGGTTCTGTGATTTTCCCTCCGAGTTTCTGTCTTCACCAGTTTGTGTTGTTTTGTAGAGGAAGTTCCATCTTCACATGAAACCAGCGATCTCAGCCACTCTTCCCTCATCTTGCTCTTCCAGTGACCCCTGCAAGCAGCTGCTGGTGCTTAGACTACAAAGAGCGATGAAGATCTCCAGCCACATATTTTCTATGTTTTATTAATTTTCTGTTCTTGCATGCAGCACATATTGATGAAAATCCCTTTAGACTTTGTTACAGCGACTGAGGTGGAGAGCCCAGCATGTCGGAGCTTAGTGGGTCCAGGGCAGCAGAGGAGGATCAGAGGAGGATCCATGATTGAAGCCAACAGTTTGCTATGGAGGGCCTGTGGAGCCCGACCCAGACTGTTTCTAATAAACAGAACCAGAAGACGAGCCCAGATCAGCAGCAATGATAACCACTCACATATCCCAAGAAATATAATGTCTGCAAGCTGGAAGAACAGAAAGAGATGGGATTAGTGAAGGAATCTGCAACAGATACAAAAAGAACAAGTTTAAGAAAAAACCTGAGCAGCTTTTCTGTTGTTCTCTAATTCACTGGGATTTTCTGTAGCTGCTGCGACTGAAAGCAACAGAAGTGTGTTGGGACACAGATGAGTCCTGCAGGCCAAAAGGAGTTTAAATTTTACCGACTGAAAAAATGAGCTGCTTTATAAAATAGATTTGACAGTTTCTAGTAAACGTTCAAACTAAAAATGGAATCAGTAGGAGGAAGCTGTGGAAGCACAACACACTGCTGTTCTACAGATATTTGGCACTTTTCTCACAGTTGTAGCTAAATTCTTGTTTAAACTTCATGAAGTCAAACAATATTCAAATTAGAATATAACTTTTTTTAATAAACACATTTATACACAGAATACATATTCTAGGTTTGATTTTAATAAAGATACAGTTTACAAAACAGCAGTGCATATTGTTCCTTCAATAAAACACTACAAATTCTTTTACTCAAATACACGAACAAAACCAGATCACATTTCCAGTAAAACCAAATGAACAGCTTACCGGTACTCCTTTTTAAATCCAAGTCCTTTTTCCCATGAGTTTGATCAGTTTGCCTCTGAAACGCTTCTTTAGTGACCGCTTCATGTCTTCTTCAGCTCTGTTGTAAAACCAGCAGAGTGACTGGTGCATTCCTTATACTGCTGCTGATTTGACCGGAATGCTTTCAGCTGCTGAGACCTGCTGCAGAGTAGCAGAGAGTGTGCACACATCTGCACCTAAAAGCAGATCAGTGCAACATTTCTTCTCCACTGTTGCTAACAAAATGACATTGATGACCTATTATCACTGGATGCTATATAGACTCGGTGTGTTCAACAGAACCAAAATGTTTTCTTGCATTTTTATAAACTCTGCATTGCAGCTTTGGGTCTGTTCATATAAGTACACATAGATATAAACTATGGCAGCAGACTGAGCTCCCAGTAGCAGATGTGGCTGTTTAGATATTGTGGTCTCCTCTGGATCACTTAACAAAAGCAGAGACGGGGGCTCCAAAGTGTTTCACTTTTAAAACACATTTGGCAAAAGAAGCATCAAAAATAATCTTTTATTTTGATCATCATAGATTCCAGACTGTAGGAGAGCAAGAGAAGGGTTTGTTTGGATGAACTTGTGATGATGTCATTGATAGAAACAAGAAGGTCAAGATAAAAGTTTCCAGGTAAACAGAAGCAAGAGGACAAATAAAAGCACTCTCATCAACATAGATCAAACTTTTCATGCGTCTCCTTTCAGATTATCTGATGGAGCAGATCTGAAACACTTGTGCAGCTTTCTGCAACATTTCCTCTTTTATCAAAGAAACATTTAAAGGGGTAGTATTATGTATTTCCCAGGCACATGGTGCCATTTTGTAGCACAATCAAGTTTCTATATTACCTTCAGTTGTTTATTTATATATATATATATATATATATATATATATATATATATATATACATACATACACACACACACATACATACATCAGGGGAGTCAGAAGTAGTTGGTATAATAAGTTCAGCAGATATGCAGTTCCATCAGGTGCTTGCTAATTGCTGCTGGCTAGTTTGAAGGAGCTGAAGGGGACTCACAGAGGAGGGGTGATGTTAGGCGGAAACTGGGAAGCATGGATACTGCAGCCTGCAGATGGAATTACGCCTCAAAGGCGGGAATAGGTCCAGCCAAATGATCTGCACAGCTGATTGGTTGCCACGAAAGATTAAAAGGTTTCTCAAATATGCATGAAAGAATCAAACACAACACTTTGATAATGAAATATAACATTAAGCTCAGAAAAGTCAATTTTACATATTTCCCCTTTAAAACAGTCTGTAGTTAGCTTTCTAAGGGACACATGATAAGGTGAGTAATGTTGATTTTGCTCAGACGAACTCGACAAGATTCCAAATAATTTTTTCAGAAAGTCATTTACTTTATTCACTTTTTTTATCTGCATCATTTCCACCTTCTCACTGTTGATTCCCAACATTTGGGCTATCTGGACTCATCAGGTCCTGCTCTCCACCTTCATACCTTTCCTACACTCTCTGGCGCATTTCCAGGGCTTCAGCTGAGATCAGTGGTTCTCATTTCAATAAACAGCCCTCTGATTGGCCAACACCAGCAGACGGATGTTGCGTATACATCCAGCAGCAAACTCCTGGATCTGGTCGGTACCAGAAGCTATGAGCTCGATCAGTGGCTGTGGGAGTGGAAAGGACAGAAGTTACTGGAAGGAGAAAGACAGTGGACAAAGTCAACTTTAAAAAGAAATTGACCATACGCAAATATGTTTGAGAACATTTAGTGTCATCTTCTCACTGCTGCCACCAACCAGAAACGGCAGAACATCCACTCTCCAATACATGCCTCAGCAGAGGGCATACAGCTGCCTGCACACACACCTCTGCAGGTTTGTCCAGATGAAAGTGGTGCAGAGCAGCTGGACGTTAAAACCCTGCGCGTGAACCAAGAAGTCGAACGCTTTTCTGCTGCTCCAAAGGTCAAATTCTATCCCACTGTTAGTGGCTTGTGTAATGGATCTGGTTATATTTTATTGCGGAACAGCAGCTTTGGGCTTTACAGAAATCACCAGCTTTGGAAGTTTATTTTTGATTAAATAAAACTTGCTTCAATGAGCTGCTAACGATGTGGAGGAAGCAGAAAAACCCAGACTAAGTGAAACACCACTGAGTAGCAGGTGTTTTTGGCCTCAGATTTTCTTCCCGTTTCCTATCTGAAATTCCTGCATCATGTCTGCAGCCAGCAGTAATGGAACCCAAGTCAAAGTATATCTGTGCATAAACATGCTAAATCTGGTTAGTGTGGGCTGTGTGGTCTAATCACAATGACGTTCTGCTGAGGTTCCCCAAGCTGCATGTTTGATTATTCTAAACAGTCAAACATTCCAACCCTGAGGTGAGCACTGAGGCCTTCCTCCTCCTAAGCACAACAAGGCCCTGATAAAAACCCAGCTGAGACGTCTGAGGCTCTTTTAGGCTGCAGACATCAAGGATTTCTTCTTCACAAAAGGAAACAAGATTCTGGGAAAGACCTCTGGGAAAACAGCAAGCATCAACATTTCTCCTGGTTTCAGTCAACATTAGCTGTGTTTCCTTTAAAAAAGTGCATAAAACTTTGTCTATATTTCGCCAATATTGAAACAGAATTTTGCAATTGCGGGGATTCCACTAAATAAGAAATGCAATCAAACAAATACACGTTAATTGTTAACACAAAGAAAACATGATGTGTCATGATTTTATTTTATTTTATTTGGCAAATCATGATACTCAAAACTACTACTTGTCGTTTTCGTGGTTTGTGCCAGTGGCAACATCTGGTTGTTTATCATGTGACTCATGATGTGAAAAATATGTTTCCAATGCAGTTTAATAAAATCCATCTGTTTTTATGCGACCAAAAACATCACTTCCTTTTAATACCAAAACATTTTAGCAAATAATTTTTTCAAAATTTAAGAAAAATTATTCTCAAAAATTCAAATTGTGAAATTATGTGGTTAATGGAAATGCAGCTACTGTCACATCCCTGTTCCTCAAGAGCAACACAAGACAATATCAACAAGACCTTACATGGTCCCTTCGTAAACTCTAGATGAGAATTATTTATGACACATTTAGCAGGATTATTATCCCATTCATCAGAGCTCCAGCAGCACATTTCCCTCCAGCAGCTCCAGAAAACATGCAGCTCCCTAAACAAGGCTCTTTAGTGAAAAACAGGATGCCTGAGAAGTGCCAGGGTTGCTTTATTTGCCAGCCTCGTGGCGTGTTATTCAGACGGGGCCAAATAAGGTCTCCTGAAGAGCAAAGCTAGGCTAAGATAAGCTCGTCTCTCTTTACAGCCTTTCTTCCAGCTCCATCTCTCCCTCCCAGTTGGGATCTCTGGAAATATAATCCAGTACTTGTTACACATTCCCTGACTGAAGGAACATCAACACTTGCTCAGCGTTTGAAAACTGCAGCAGGAATTCTGAAGATGTGTCCAGGGAGTCCAGGGAGCTCCCCTTCCCAGCTTCCCCATGTTTTACACTCAACTGTGGAGGCAAACAGGACAGATGGACGGTTGTGTTCAGCCAGGTCGAGGGGAACTTGGTGCAGAAGTCCAGGTAAACAACATTCCCTGCAGCCTCCAGTCAGCCACAGATGCTGAGCTGCTTTTTCTGGGTCTCCAAAGAGGAAAAGGAGGGAAAGTTTCAGGCTGAACCCAGAGTCTGTTAGAGCTGAACAACAAGAGGGACAGAAACTTCAGTCAAAGGCTCTGAGACGTTCCCCTCTTTGGATTTAAATTATGGTGGTCCTAGTAAAACTGTAGCCACAGCTCCTGTGTCATCTGCTCAGCACAGCCACAAGCTGAAAATAGTTTTTGATCTCCTGGGTCCTCTTTTGGTTCATTTGATCAAATCTCCAGAAGAACAAAACATGAGAGAAGAATCAGATGAAAACACACCGTGTCAGGGTGAGAGGTGAGCTCAGAGCACCTAAAGAGCAAACGTTTTTCTCATTTAGATTAGTAAAATCCTAAAATACACACCAGGACCTGGAACACTGCACTCTGGAAAATGTTCAGCTGAAAA